TGGACTGGTGGGGTGGTGGGGTTGGTTGGGTTGGGTTAGTTGGGTTGGTTTGGTTGGTTGGTTAGTTTGGTTGGTTTGGTGGTTGGTTAGTTTGGTTGGTTTGGTGATTGGTTAGGTTGGTTGGGTTAGTTGGGTTGGGTTGACTTGGTTGGGCTGGTGGGGTGGTGGGATTGGTTGGGTTGATTGGTTAGTTGGGTTGGGTTGATTTGGTTGGGTTAGGTTGGTTGGTGGGTTGGTTAGTTGGGTTGGGTTAGTTGGTTGGTGGGTTGGTTAGTTGGGTTGGGTTGACGTGGTTGGGCTGCTGCGGCGGTGGGACCGGTGGGTTGGCTTGGTTTGTCAGTTTGGCTGTGGCTCTGGGGTGACCCCAGGCGGGTGTGTGCTAGGCAAGCGCCCTGCCCCTGAGCCACCCCAGGCCGTCCCTTGCTGTCCCCGCCGTCCTGACTCTGCTGTGGTTCTTTTCTGCTGACCTGCCTTCCTCAGAGAGAACCAGGGCACCGGGGTCCCTGTGTCCGGCCCCAACCTGTCCACCACGCGTCCAATCCAGCAGGACCTGGGCCGCCAGGACGCGCCGCTGGCCGAGGACATGGACAACCTGAAGAACAACAAGCTGGCCACTGCGGAGCCAGCCAGTCCCCACGACAGCCTGGGCCCCGCCGGCGCACCCCAGAGCCCCGCCAAGATGGGGAACAGCACGGTCCCCGGCCCGACGCCTGCCCCAGCCGGCAACCCGCACAGCAGCGCCGGCCGCCGGGTGCCCAATGACCCGGGGCCCCCGTCACACCCCGGCGCCCCCAAGGCCCCCGAGAACAGCCTCATCGTCACCAACCCCAGCAGTGGCCAGGACGCCTCGGCCAGGACCGGGAGGCCCGAGCACACGGCCGTGGACATCCCGCCCCCAGGGCCGCCCCTCAACCACACGGTCGTCCAAGGTGAGCGGCCGGGGGACCTGGGGACCTCGGGATGTCAGACAGGCGCTGCCTCAGCCCAAGGAGCGTTAATGTCTCAGATATTAGATCCAGATGTCGCCATTTCGACCCGCGAACCGTGTTTTCTGAATCGTTAGCGAGACGCTCTGCCTTCTTCTCACCCTGGGTCCTGGACGCCCAGTGTCCCTCACATCCCGGCCTGTCCCCATCGAGTCTGGCCACGTGCCTTGTGCCCAGTAGCCACAGAGCGTGGAAAGGGGTGCCGTGGCCTGAGCCCATGTCCCCCTAAGTGGGGCCGTTAGCACCCCCTGGGTGCCCCCAGCCTCGGCATGAAGGTCAGGCGGGACAGGGACAGGAGGAGCCCAGCAGACTCAGGGCCACAGAGTGGCTGGGAACAGGCTTTCTGGGGCCAGGCGGTTCAGGTGTCCCCTCGAGGCTGTGTGACCTGGGGATCATGAAGTGCCCCCCACAGGGTCAGTGAGGACGCGGCCACGCGCCCCGCCCCTGGGGTGGGGGAGCCTCCGGGCCCGGTGTGGACGGGAACCACGGAGGGAGCCCCGGTCCTTGTCCCGACAGTGAACAAAAACGCCAACCCCGACCCGCTGCCGCGGAAAGAGGAGGAGAAGAAGGAGGAGGAGGAGGAGCCCGGGGAGGACGGCCCCAAGCCCATGCCCCCCTACAGCTCCATGTTCATCCTGTCCACCACCAACCCGTGAGTCGGCCCGGGCCAGGCAGGCCGGGAGGGACGAGGGCCAGGGGCAGGGGGGCCACCCCCCAACACCACCTCCAGCCCCGAGTGGCCCGTCCTTGAGTCGTGTGACAGGACGCTGTCACAGTGCATCGCGGGCTGGCCCAGGACGGTGCCCTCGGCCGTCGGCGCTCTGATGAGGCTGCGATCCAGAGCTCAGTCACCACCTCCTTGGAGACCCCCGTGTCCCACTCGGCATTGGTGACCCTCTGGTCCTCGTAGTCCAGGCCACGCTCCAGATGAGAGCCCCAGGCCCACGGCTGATTCTAGGGAGGGAGGGAGGGAGGGACGTCTCTGTGACCCATCGGTCCCCAAAACCCTTCATCCCCCTTTTCTCAGCCCAGTGTGGGGACCAAGACTTCCAGAGTCGCTGGAGCCACAGTGTTGTAGGGACAAACGAGGCAGGGCACCGAGGACGGCAGGAAACAGTTTTATTTGGCTGCAGCCAGGCTCAGAGGGCACAGCTTTTGCTGTCATCAATCAATCCCCTGAACCCCGAGTTCAGGGAGTTTCAGAGTTTTGTACCCAGCATGTAAGGGGAGGGGCTCAGAAGTTCACAGTCTGCAGAAGTTCACAGAAAAGCAGCTTTTTCTTTCTCTGTTCTGGGCAAGTTAACCCTTCAAGGACGACACCTGAGAAGGGAGAGCTTCTTCTCCCCTTTCTTCCCTCCCCCTGCCAGCTGTGACCATGGGGCCCATTTGTGACTTATCTTAAAAATGTAGACATCTCTGTGAAGCCCAGCTCAGGGCCAGAGGCCTTGTTTGCACATTTCTACAAACTACTATACTGGATGCGTTTGTGAAAAACTAGTAAGGGGTGTCCACACCTGGAGTGCTGGCATCTTCCCGGCCAGTGGCCAAGTAAACAGGGCGACAGGAAAATAGGGAGTTTATCTCCACTGGACTCTTTCACAGAGACTCTTTTGCTCCAGTCCTAAAGTCAGCCATGGTGAAGATTTCTGGAGAGGCCCAGTTAAGACTTTTCAGTGGAGAAAGGGGCGCCACTTCAGAACAGGGCTGGGTCCTGAGGTTCTTTCCCACCCTGGCTTGACGGG